TCCTGCAGTTATGGAGAATTTCTGCATCAGAATTTCAGTTGCGTACCTATCAAGGCCAGTTTCTAACATGTGACGGTGAAGGGAATTCGGTCTATGCAACTGCAGAATCACCTTCAACAAAAGAAACATTTGAAATAGAAAGAAAAAACAACAACCAAGTTCATATTAAACTTAAGAATGGGCCCTACCTGCAGGTATGATTCTTACTTATTTGCATTTTCTTTAGAGGGTCTTGAAGATGACAATCAGAATAAGTAATAAAAACATATTAACTGTGCTAGTGTGACATTATATGAGATTAGGCATGTTTTGGACAACTGAGATTTGGAGAATTTGGCCCCTTTGCAATTATCTGAAAAGTGAACTAAGGTGGTTGAATTTGCTAGGTGCTGGAAAAATTCACTTTATCTGAACATGGTGATTGGTGGGTCTACTAGATAAAATTTGAGGTTATCTCAGATTGTCTTGATCCTTGACATGACAAATTTTCCAACAGAAAACATGATAGAATACACTTCATTGTTTAGGTTACCATAGGAAATCAGCTTACAGCAGACTATCCAGGGACACCAGGATGGAATGAAAACTCCGCAACCTTTGAAATGACAATTGTTGCTAATAACTTGCATGGAGATTACCAGCTTGCAAATGGATATGGACACAATAAGGCAAAAGATGTTCTCCGGGTAACCGTACCTTTTCATAAATAATTCTTGCCTTCTTTTTCCTTTCTTCAAACATGATCTCCATTTGACTCGTTAATCAATTTACTTATGCTTCATGTCACGATCATAAACCCTTAAAAATAGTGCTGACCAGTCCCGAACTTACATGTGTTTTTATAATTACCTTGCATATCTAATTGGTAATAGCAGGGAATAGTTATGACAGAAGGTACAAGATTTAACGTGGTGTCTTATTTTGCATTTTTTTCCTCAGAAATTCCTGCAACTTTATACAACCATAACATGATTGTCAGTATCTTTGATTTTCTTTTTGCCATTTTTCTGGTAAAACTGCAGAGACATAGAAATAGTTTTATCACAATAGAAGATTTCAAGTTTCTGTATAGACATGGAATAAATGCTGTGAGGATACCTGTTGGCTGGTGGATTGCTTTTGATCCTAATCCTCCAGCTCCTTTTGTTGGAGGAGCTTTAGAAGCTCTGGATAATGCATTCTCGTGGGCACAGTAGGTCTTGCTTACCCATGTTTCTGTCTCGAGTTTCACAGCTTAAACTTCGTGCTTCCTTCTGAAAGATCCCGTATATGGGTGAAAACTATTGTGCAGAGACTATAACATAAAGTGCATAATTGACCTTCATGCTGCCCCTGGATCCCAAAATGGAATGGAACATAGTGCTAGTAGAGATGGCACAACTGGTTGGCCTACTTCAGATTACATCTCACAGACATTAAACATTATAGATTTTCTAGCTTCAAGGTAAATTCCAAGGACTAAATAGAGTTATGTTGCATTCTCTGCTGTGTGCGGTTCTCTGAAAGTTGTTTTTTAAAATTTGATATTAGTGATGGAGCCACTTCCAAAATTACAATGAAATCGTTGTTTGCAGATATGCAACGCACCCTGCCTTGCTAGGAATTGAGCTGTTAAATGAACCCTCTGCAGCATCAGTTCCACTAGATGTGTTAGTTTCATATTACAAACAAGGGTACCAAATTGTACGAAAATACTCGCCAACAGCTTATGTGATAATTTGCCAGAGAATTGGCAATGCTGATCCTTTGGAACTTTATCAGGCCAATGTAGGCTCACATAACATAGTGGTTGATTTGCATTACTACAACCTCTTTGACACCTTTTTTGTCAATATGAGCGCTGTGGATAATATCCAATTTATATATAAAAGTAGGGAATCTCAACTCCAAGCCTTGAATGGTGCCAATGGTCCGCTTGTTTTTATTGGTAATTCAAATTTCGACTCTCCTCTGTGAAACTGTTAAACTTCACCACTTATCAATTTACTGCTGATAAACTTCTTATGTAGCAGGGAAAAAAAAAATATTGTCTTTAGATCAATCGTACTGTGAACTATGTAAATGTAGAGGGATTTGATATTGTTAGAGATGAAATGAAAATGGAATTGTTTCAGGCGAGTGGGTGAATGAATGGAATTTCACCAGTGGATCTCAGACAGATTATCAAGATTTTGGAAGGGCGCAGTTAGGGGTCTATGATGCAGCTTCCTTCGGGTGGGCATATTGGACACTAAAAAATGATAGAAAGCACTGGGACTTTGAATGGAACATTAAGAACAACTATCTTCCATTTGGTAAAAGTCTTAAGCTCATCTGTTATTCGTTTTTCGAAATCTTTAAGGTCTTTAATCCTTAAAGTTTTGCTACTTCAGTACTAGACTCATATTAAAAATGTGTTCCTTATTTGATCACCGTGTGAAACATTTTCACGCAGGTAGTTCCCCAAGCCTGAAAATTTTCAACACTCTAACACCGCTCGGACTGGTATTTTCATGGTTATATCTGCGTCAAATATTGTGAGAAATCTCTCCTGAGTTGAATATGACCAAGAGTTAAAAATGCTCTATTTTTTTTCTTGTTGTCCTTATTTTTTTGAAGTCTGTTTTAGTCATTGTTATATTCATTCTTCTGCAAATCTGCAGATGTTTTGTTGTTAGACAAGTGAATCCCCTGATAATAAAATGCATTTTGTAAAAGCAACAAGGTTGCGAGTTAACCATTGGCTCTCAATAAGATAGCTATGGAAGAATTTCTTCCTACTTTTATTGCAGCTTCTTGTAGAAATTCCTATCATATTATTACATCCAGTTATTAAAGCCATCTTTCATACACAAAAATGTAAATTTTCTTAACTACCTGTCCAACTATGAAATACCCCAGAAAAAGTACTATCAAAAACACAAAATAAGAAAGAGGGAGATCCGTGAATCCCAGGATATGTGTGAATGGGATTGCAATGCCGGTACTGGAGATTATGACTGCAGAAAAAATTACAGGCCAGGAAGCAACTTCCTGAATGAAGGGGACTTGCTCTGTCCGAATCAGGTGAAAAATCAATGTTTGCATGAGAAGTCCTTCGAGAAACCAGGCAGAACGGAACAACTTGATTTCAGGCTCAGTGGCAGCCTTGTAATAGAACAGAAGGAATAGAAGAGTAGCCACATCAGAGAAGGTGCAGACAGGAGCATTCCATAGCAGGAACATAGGCAACCCTTTTATAGACCATCTTTGAGGAGTTTTCACATAATCTTCTTCCATCTTGTCCCATGGAATCGCAATCTGGCCAATGCTGGACAAGAAGTTCTGTGTTAAAAGCTGCTTTGGAGTCAGTGGCTCGGCACGAAGGAAGAAAGTTGCTATTAGAAGAGACAAGATACTTCCTACATTAGCAATAACTGATGCTTTTATGTACTTAATTGTATTGCCGAAAGTGAGACGACCCTGTTCTACTCCAGCAACAAGGACATTGAGATCTTTCTCCAGCAAGATTATGTCTGCAAAATCTTTGGCTACTGACACTCCTGAGTCCACTGATATACCGATATTTGCAGCATCAAGTGCTAGTGAATCATTTATGCCATCACCCATGAAACCAACGACATGTTTACCAACTGTTTGTAGTGATTGTACAACTTGGAGTTTTTGAGAAGGGGTGAGCCGAGCAAGCACTGTTGCTCTCCTAACAGTTTCATGGAAGCAGTCTTGGCTGAGTAGCTCCAGTTCAGGTCCTGTAGTTACATGAGTTGTGCTGATGCCAACTTCCTTGCAAATCTTTATTGCCAAAGAAAGTGAATCCCCGGTTAACACTTTAGCTTTTACTCCCTTCTCTGCCAATCGCCAAAGAGCTTGCTTTGCTGAGTCCTTAGGCGGGTCATAGAATGTTATGAGGCCAAGGAACACCATATCTGATTCAGCAGTGTGCTCATTTGCCATACCAAGCTCACTTGTCTCCTGCAACATGACTACAAACTGTAAGTAGACACTCTCCTACCTACTTTTTAGCTAGCTGACTAAAATTTCAGTTCACTACCAATTTCCTAATGTTGGCAGGAACAGAACTTGAGATGTCCTAAACATTAGAAGGTATCTTTTCTTCTTTTATATTTACTGGATGAAATTACTTGACTGTCTTTGACTGAGTTTAAAGGTAAATGAATTAAGGATACTGTGTCTTCGAGTGCATGGTGATTGGACTCTTATTCAGTCTTTTAAAAAATGACTAACTATTAAATAAGAAAACATTATTCTGAATTCATTATCACCATAAGCATATGAAATTATAGTACTCGATCCCCATAATAATAAGAAATTCAGATATTAGAGAGAGAAAAGGAAAGAAGGGAGGTCCAAACTCACTGGTTTTAGCTTTTTTATTGCAACGCCTATAACCCTCAGTCCCTCATTGCTCAGATCTTCTACCATATCTAGAATCCTGTGATGGTCATCTAGAGAGAAACGTGTCACTCCACCCCTATCAAAATGCTCAACAAAAGAACAAACTTTCATTACTTCTTCAAGTGCACCTTTTGTTACCATGAATCTGCCAAGAAATGGATTGCTTATGTCTTCTGTATTTGGTTCTTTTTCCAGAATAATATACATTCTTCTCCGAATAAAATCAAACGGGATCTCATCTATCTTTCTCCACATGGAGGGCTGGAACTTGTAACCACTTGTATATACATATGCTAAAATTGCAGCATCTAGCGGATACTTCTGATCAGTCTTGAAGTAAGAGTTGAGGAAGGCAAAGCGTAAGACATTCTCGTTCGGTGATCCGAAGCTGTCCAGATGATTAACCATGATGGTGTGGTTCATGGTTAGAGTCCCTGTTTTGTCAATGCACAGGATATCCCTGCAGAGAAACAGCAATTACAAATGAATCTAGGAAATCAGGAAAGCACAGCTGTTGATTTCAAGTAAATAAAGCTTACATTGATCCCATATCTCTTATGGTGTCTAAGCTTTTGATAATGCATCTTTCTCTGGCCATGGCAAGTGCTCCTTTAGCAAGATTTGTGCTGATAATTAGAGGAAGCATCTGAGGAGTGAGGGCACATGCAACAGAAATACCAAAAAGAATACTTCCACTCCAATCAAAAGATGTATAGTAATCAGCCAATATTATGATTATGACTACAATCAGGATAGAACCAACAAGCACGTAAGACATTTGCCGGATGCCTTTCTCAAAGTCATCTGGTGGTTTCTTCTTCCCTATATCTGAAAACACAGTGCTCATGTAGGTCTTAGATCCAGTAGAGACAACCAGACCAGTTCCACTACCAGATACCACGTTTGTTCCCTATATATGCACAGGGTCAGAATATATTTTTAGCAATTTACATCAAGAAAGCATATCTTTTATGTTCACATGTATCGATGTATGTATATTTTTATCTATCTATAATATGGCTGGCTGATACTCCTAGCAGAAACTAATACACCATATGTATCAAAAGCTCATAAATGCACAAATTGGCACACACCATGAAGCAAATATTCCTTAACTCTAGCAAGGGAATATTCTGATCTTCTCTAACTGCTGCTGTTTTTTCAGTCATCCAGGACTCCCCTGTCAATGAGGACTGACTGTCGAAGAATCAATACGTGATAATATAATGTGGAAATGACTGAGAAATCCTTCTGAATATAATAGGAAATCTTTGAAGTTGCTTACCTTACTACCAAGTGTTTTGAAGATAATAGTCTCACATCACCAGGAAAGAGGTCCCCAGGCTCAAAGACGACAATGTCTCCTGGTACAACATCCCTTTGATCTACCTGGACTATTAATTCAGTCTGAACAACCCTTCCAGCACATCTTTGAACTTTAATTGGGCATCTTACATATTCTGAAAGTTTCATGGCTGCCTTTGAACTGCTGCATTCCTGGATGGTATTTCAAAAAACATTTGGAGATTGTGTTGTTAGAAATAATAATTCTATTATTTCTCATCAATCTAAGGTTTTCAGGGTTATTGTTTGATTTCATATGGTATCAAAATCTAAGTTTAGTGTTTAAACCCTAGCCATCACCTTATTTTTATTAAAAGTAATTATACACAAGATATAATAGACAATAATCACACTTCCAATTTTTGGGAATGCACATAGGGGAACGTGTTAGTGTATAAATATATATTGAATTAATTTTTATCAACTTAAGCTCATAAAACAGTTGGTTAAAATTTCAGTTTTTCACATATTATCTAAGGAATTTATTAGGAGAGACTAAATTTCTTGAACAGTTAATATGTAGAAAAATTAAACAACACAAGGATATTCGTGTTCAACCATGTACAAAAAGGATGAATCTTGGATTCACTATAAAAGAATTTTAGAAATTAGAAATGTAATCTCTCATTCAACTCTAGTCTCAGAGATACGCCCAAAACTCTCTACTGGAAAAGAAAGAGAGAGAGAGACAAAAAAAAAAACTCTTTACACAATAAATTTATGAAACCAGCTCGAGTCTAAGAATTAAGCTAGTGACTACCTGGTAAAACCGGAGAGACACGCTGATGAAGACCAATAGCAGCATGATTCCCCCATTTGGAGTATCACTTGTTATGTACGACAATGCCGATAGGACAATCAAAATGATATTGAATGGATGAAAGAAAGCATTCCACAGAAGATGCCACCAGCGAAGAAATTCATATTGAAAAGGAATATTTGGCCCGTATTTTTTTAACCTACGTTCAGCTTCGGCAAAGCTCAAGCCTAATCAAAATTCATAAGAACAAACAGAGTCACCATAACAAGATTAAGGACAAAGAGACATATAATCTGCTTCACAGTCATTTCATCAAACACGTTACAAAAATTCAAATATAACCAGCGCATTGATCTTCTAATCCAAACAAACAGTATCATGAACTCACCCCTTTCAGTGGATCGAACGTATTCAAAGACCAAATCCTTCTCCGATTGAGCTAAGGCGTATAACCATGAACGAACCTTCTCTTCTTCCAACCTTGAACCCCCATTAATTTTATCTGCTCCAAGATTAAAAGAATAAGAGGAACAAGAAGAAGAAGACAAAATTCACCCAGATAAAAGAAAAATAAGTTCAAACAAACAAGATAAATAAATGAAGATCACCTCCAGACATGAAATGCCGAAAGAATTTAAAAACAGAACTGTGCTGCCCATCTTGATGGACATCATTATTTCGATCCTTGAGGAGACTTTCCCGCGTGCTACGTAAATCTGATTTGAATTTGAAGATGGAGAAGAGCTTATTTCTTCCCATGAGAACAACCTGGTTGTTGCGCTGTCGAGATGGATGCTAAGAAGTTCATGAATGGAATACAGAACAGGATAATGATGTGACCCGAACATTCTCGTGTTTGACTAGAAGGTAGAGATAGAGAGACAAATCAATGTTGTTGAGTGACTTCCGTGCGAGCTACCAGATTCCAAATGACTGTTAGATGCTGGAAGAAGAAGCTCTGGTTTTCCAGTTGTAAATCGCGCGATCCTTATTCGTACAAGTCTTTCTTAATTTTTTTAAAAAAATATATAATAGGGATTAAATTTAATAATAAATTACTAAATTAACTTCTAAAATTTTAATATTATTTTGTCATAATCTAATTTTTAATATTTTTTATTTCAATTGTTCAAGTTATTTATATTTTCTAATAAAAAAATTGAAATTATTATATCATGATTAGATACATTAAAAATATATAAAAATTTATGTTAATTAATTAATAATTAATGATAATATATACTGTGTTAAACAATAAATTTTCTAATATATTTTAATAATTTCAGTTTTTATTGAAAATAAAAAACTAAACTTTTAAAAAATATTTTAGCAAGAATATTATTTTTCTATCAAATATTTAAAAAATAACGCATTCATTATAAGAAGGAAAAAGTTTTATATATATATATATATATTCTATTTCGTATTTTTTTTTTCAACATTTAATTTATTTCTGTTTTTTTTTTTATTTAATCCCAAATGGAGCTTCATGAATATATAACATAAGATTTTATGAACCAAAATATCATTTGAACCCCACAAATCCCTAAAGATTAATATGTATATATATATACATATATAATTAATTTGCATCAATGATTTATTTCCCAATATTTCCATTCTAAGAAATACCCCACAAATAATAAGAAATAATTTAAATAAAAAATTCAAATCTCATCAAAAAATTTGGAAAATGCGAATGAAATTTGATCTTATTTTATTTTTAATAAAGATATGAAAGGAAGAACCCTACAATATAATTAGTACGTATTGGATTTACAAAAAAATTATAAATAAAAAAAAAGTAATCATAAAATGTATAATGCATGATTAAATTAATTAAAAAAATTTATAAAATCATTGTATATTTAGGTTGAATTTGATTTGAATTTTAATTATATATAATAAAAATAAGATTACAATATAAAGTAGACAAAATTTTAAATACAATTATAAAATTTAAGTTAGCATGTTTTTATGATTTATTTTATAAAAGTTAAATCAAGAAACTATACTTAAAAATTAATTAAAATTAATGAAATTAAAAATTTATGATCTTAATTTTGCTTAAAATTAAATTAAAAACTTGGTTTTATTATTTTATAAAATAAAAATAAAAAACTTACATTTTCTTACACATAAAAATATAATTTTCCTTACAATCATGACTTAATGAACCTTATTCTTAATCAACAACAAATTTCCAATACATAAATACTATACACAATGCCTTAACAAAAGGGTACATTGTACATAATTTTTCTTAGAATGGGTTTTCTTTGTAACATATATACATACATATATACATATATATATACATATATTACGGGGACAAAGAGGCAAAGGGTTAACTATGATTATTTTATATGTTCATTTAACTTTATATATTTCATTAATTATATATTTCAATGAAGAAAGTTTATTTGTTTGGTAGCAAAGAAGGGGCGGGGATTTTCGGGTAATTGGGGCGGTAAAGCATCATAGCAAATATGGGTCGGTTCCCCATTTTGGAAATTAGCAATTACATATATATATATATATATGTATGTATATATTTGAATATTAAGCAATCACCACTTTGAAGAAGAAGATGTGTAATGGATTGTAATAACATGAAACCAAAATTTAAGCAAAAGAGTGCTGCCTCCTGCAGATCATAATAGCAAGGAGAAGACTAGATTGGCAACGTATGCAGTTTCATGGCTTCCAAACCTAATAACACAATCTCAATTACCCTAAGAACGAAAGAAAAAGGGTAACCAGTTTTTTTCCAAGAGAGATTTTGAGAACCCACAACAAATTTTTTTAAAAAAAAAAGATAAGAAAAGTCTAATGGGTATTTAAATATGTATAGGTTGACACGCAATACAGCATCAAATGTTCTCGAGGAACAAATGCCTGATATAATTAAAGCATTGGTAGACCATGTACACCAGTTAAAAGCTATGATCAAGCACAGCTCAAAAAGCTCAAGGGTCCATTTAAAAAACAGATATGAAAAGGGGGGGGGGGAAAGAAAACCAAAGTTTTTTTTCAAGTGTCAACCAGGTTGACACACCTTCACATGCCCAGCAGATCTTAAAATTAAAACCTCCATGGATGGGACTTTAGTGGCTGAGGAGACTTCTCGCAATTCATTAGGACTGCTGTAACTAATCAGTAAAAAAAAAAAACAGCAGTCGTGGACATTCCAAGTCAGAGAAGTACTCTCAAGTCACGTTGAGCGAAAAAAGAAGATACTAAGCTCCTGCCCTGTATTGCCTTCTGGGTCAATCAAATGGAACGATTCAGAGTGAGATGATCCACATACCCTGTTGAAACTTGCTCTCAGATACATAAGCTCATCATCCCGGCCAAGTTCATTGCCCTTAATAACTCCGGCACCAACGACAACTGAGCTTAACAGCTTCAGCGCCTCAACATCACCTCTTGACGCTATGCGCCTTACTGCAAATCCAACTTTCCTTCCATTACAGTACATAGTCCAAACCGGCATAGACAAAAGAGACTGAGAATCTGAGTTGGCGTGACCTTGTGTGGTGCACTCTAGAGCTATTCGAAGATTCCCACCTTGCATTTCTCTGGCTAAAACGGTGGTGGGAACTGCAAGTTCAAGGATGAGAACGGGGCTCGAGGACTTGGTGCCTGTTTGGATACAAAAGCTCACTTTCCCTCTTCGGTATCCAAATATGGTGCCTGTGATTACAGAAGATGAAGTATTGAAGGAAGATTTTGGAGAGTTGTACCTCTGGAGGTACTCTTCTTGTTTGATTTCTGGATCATCTACGAAGGTGCAGTTGCAGCTTGGGATGAGAAGCTCCATGAGAGAGCGTAGAAGCCGCCATGATCGGACTTGTTTCTGGCAGTCTACTGTGGTGACACTGTTGGAGATAGTAGTGGCACCGGTTGTATGATAGGACATGGTGCCTTTGGCGGAATATGGGAAGGGGTGAGGGTTGGTTGTGACTCATTAGGGTATAAATAGAAAAAGAAAGGGAATTTTTCCTTTAAAAAATTTTGTCTAATGAACATCTACTTTTTAATTTGTATGGTTTGGTCAGGGAAGAGAGTTGCATGTTTTCTTTTAAATTTAAGCGTTTCTCCATAAAAGATCTTCTAGATCATGGGTCACAAGAGCTTCCAACCGTAGGACCTTATATATCCCCCTTTATTTTATAAATAAAAGCCATTTCACCTACTCACTACATATAAAAATATGAATGGTTAGTGGTTCTTCAGACATCAAAGTTGGAAAATTCAACTATTTAGCATGTCAAGATGTTGTTAAATGCACGTAATCAATTGCAAATTTAGTAGTCCAAAATGACAAAATATGATCCCTCAGAGTCAATCTGCCCGCCGTAGTTAAAAGGGTTACCATACAAAGATTATCAAAATACTATAAGATATTAGAAAACTACTGCTCAAAAACAGCATAGTAGCACTCCCTAAGATGAGATAGCAGCCATGCCAGACAAATCTAGTACAAGAAAGTAAAGGAAACAATAGTATATATGATACATGAAAGAATCAAATTAGCAACCCATTAACAATAGTAAATTATTTCTTGATGCATGTTCATTTAACTTGTTATGAAGGACAAGTCATGCTTGTGCAAGTTCACTTCTCAATTTGATTTTACTACTAAAAAACGAAGATTACTTTAGACCATTTCCAACAATGAGACAAAACAAATGAGTAATTAAAAAAAAAAAAAGCCAGTCATACAATATTGAATTCTCATCTCATATTTCCTCCCCTTGCTTACACATTTAGAGATAAAGGTGTTCGTATGGCAGTTGTCTTTTTCTTCCCCTTGTCAATGAGGGGAAGGTGTGGAAAGCAAAGAAAGGATGCTAATTTCTAATTTAAAAATTCCACAACAAAAAAAATATGAATATTAAAATAAAGAAAAAGATGCTTAAGAGAAACAGTTAATAAGTGGGCATGTACTTTTTTATATATATAGACATATATATATATACATATAATCACTTCATAATTGGGATGCTCTTTATCTCTGATGATGAATGAAAACCAAAATGGTGCTGAGCTTAAGAAAATGCAAAGAAATAGGCATGAAAAAGATTCCGTACGACACAGACCTACCCACGTAACACGCTATATAATCATTAGACCATAGGATACCGAGCTCAACACAACTCCAAATTTACAACTGTTTAACTCCTAATTTATTTCAAGAATCTTCTTAACCAATTCTTTTGCCCAGTTTTGGGACCCTACCCTCCAAGTGTGGGGACTTAAAAAAACACCCAAAAGCACAACACTAGATTTTATTTCGCTCTCAATTGTTTTGTATTCTATATAGCTAAACGAGATAAAGATGATGCCCAATTTAAGATGGACCTTGAGGGCAAAATGGCAATTAATAGCACCAAACAAATGCAGTTGGTTCACTTTCTAGCCTGGTTTCCTCCACTAATGTCCTTTTCATTTTCCCTTTCCACATGTAGATTTCCATAAAATGACAAGAGATCAAATAATTTTGTTCTTTATTTTTCTTTCATATACTCTAAGAGAATAGAGTCTTTTTCCCCAAAATCTACACAAAAAATTCATAAATTTTCTTACCCAATCGTGCAGCCTCAATAACAAATATGCATGTAAAAAAGCAAACTTTGCTAAAAGGCTAAACTATTTTAACAAAATAAAAAGGACTTCGTTGCATAAACTTCTAAAAAGTAGATGCTAAGCAAGGTTTTGGCTCCCTTAGGCCTATTCAAGAAAATATCATACAGTTTCAATGTAATGTCATTTTACTAAAATTTAGATTTTACCATTGTGATCTACTCTTTTGGTCCTTTTTTTTTTCAGTTTTAATTGATTTAGTACCGAAATTCACATATTTTATATTTAGAAGACCAAATACATGTGAATATACTTGAGTTATGTCAAATACAAAAACATAACAACAAAGAATAAACTGTAACAAAAAAAAATACAAAATAATGGCATGAAATTATATTTACCCCCCGAAAAAGTATTCTTCTTTATTAATAAACATCTTGATTAGGGTACTATTGAGAATTTTCAAATAAACATAACTCATTTATATGCTATTTTAGGACCTGAGATGCAAGAACGCCGCGACAAACCAAGGTGTGCCATCTCACTGTCTGGACAGTTGTTGGCATTTAGTTGGAAAATAAAATATTTAGAAGAAAAAAAAAAGCTCAAAAAGAACATATTTAATATTGGAAATGCATGATGAGAAGATGACAATAATCATGCGCAATAACGAACCCACTAATTCCCCCAAATACCATAAATAAAAACTTTGATTTTGAAAAAAAAAAGTTTGAAGAATGCGGAGTTAGCAAATACTTACCCATCGAGCTGTAAATGGCATTATAATGACGCGGAATGGAAACGATATGGGAAGACTCCAAACGAGCTACAGCATTTCATTGTACTAATTTCCTGCAAGGCCAGCCCATCAGTGTCTCGGGAGACCGTGTTTTTTGTCCACGACCAACCAGTTTTCCTGCCTTGCCGCTGCCGAGACAGACCACATAACAGGGCCTCTGTCTTGCCTGTCTGCACATAAACAAAACAGAGATCGTAACTTGAACATTATCCATTCGCATTAGTCTACCAAAATCATAAACACACACAAAAGAAATGAACAAAAAGAAACCTACAAAGTTTCAAGCAAGATAAGCAACGGGCATTTTGCTTCTCTAAAATTAAATAAAAAAAGGGAATTATAACCTGCACAAAATCAAGTACCGCTATCTACAAAAATCTTAAGCAGCCACTAAAAAATTGAATTGAGATAAGTCTGAATACAGTTCGGGCAATAGAAGAAATGTAAAAACCATGAATAACAAATTGCCACTACTGTAATCAAATCAACTAGCACAGATTCAGAATAATTTCAGTTGAATCTGAGACGCCTATCTGAAATAGTCGGCTATAAATAGCAAGAACAGTAAAATATCACAAGAGCAAACCCAAACATCACCCACTAAGAGTCACAGTAGCTTTCACGCCAAATTATAATTATCAATCTCAACCATCTAGATTCCAAACAAACTCAGCTAATAATCTAGTACTGTAAAAAGGCGAAGATAAACACGAAGGATAAATATGCAGAATCTGTTGCCACACATGATTATATATTGGGATAGATGAGTTACCAAAAATATTTTAAGAGAAACACCAGCTTCCATAGGAATGCGATTGATTGAAACAATGCATATGATAGCGTGGTATCATTCAAGGTAATCTCGACAGACAAAGGAAAGCATGATTCAAAGTAAGTTGATTGATATAAAACCATTTCCACTTACAACTTTCAACAAACACCTGGACGGCAGTAAGACACTACCGTCAAAAACAAGAGTACCAGCTAAAACTAGATGCAGAATCAATTCTAAACACCAAATCCCACCATGAATTTATACAATCGTCACTTAGTTAATACCCTAACGTGGCCATTAATCGAAATGCTAAACCAAAGAAACATTGACCAGAAACCTACTCCTGCCTTACGCCCTCTCGCCCCTAATTCTCCTGGCAAGCTGAATATCCTTGGGCATAATAGTAACCCTCTTAGCATGAATTGCGCACAGGTTTGTGTCCTCGAAAAGCCCAACAAGGTAGGCCTCAGCTGCCTCCTGGAGAGCCGCGACGGCGCTGCTTTGGAACCTAAGATCCGTCTTGAAATCCTGCGCGATTTCCCTCACCAATCGCTGGAACGGCAGCTTCCTTATCAGCAACTCAGTACTCTTCTGGTACTTCCTGATCTCCCGAAGAGCGACGGTCCCCGGTCTGAACCTGTGGGGCTTCTTCACTCCTCCGGTCGCCGGGGCAGACTTCCTCGCCGCCTTAGTTGCCAGCTGCTTCCTTGGAGCCTTTCCTCCGGTAGACTTGCGAGCGGTTTGCTTAGTACGAGCCATGGAATAGAACAAAAATCGAAAGAAAAAGAGAGAATTTAGCTTCCTGTTACTTCGTTCGTTTCTCGAGAAAAAAGCGAAGGAAAGCGGTGAAGGAAAACGCTTAACGAGAAGAAGAATATATAATGTCGGCGATGGGCGGGAAGTCTCGAATTCGACACTTTTCAAACTTTCGCGGTGCGTGAAGGAGGTTTTGCACATCGTCTGAAATCAACGGCTGAGATCATTTCAATGCTGACTTTACACAATCGGCGATCCGCGTGAAACCGAAATTAACCAATGAGAGAGCGCCAAATCCTTCGCAATTTTTGGCGCCGAGAATTTTGGTTCAAAATGAAATTTTGAAATTTTCGTGTGAAATCAGATTATAAATTCTTTTTCATTTTTTAGAAAAACGCTATAAAAATAATTTTAACCAAAATTAATAACAACAAATTATTATTAATTTAATTAATCAATTAAAATAATTAATTTAATATTATTATTAAATTAATTTTTAAGTTATCCAAATATAATTAAAACTATTTTAATTCTTTATTAAAGATCAAATGAAATTACACAAATATATATGTATATATAATTATTTATTTATTTATTTTATATTATCTAATTTATTATAGCCTGTGGATAAAATAATTAAAAGACATTTTTTATTTTTTATTTTTTATTCTTATTTATTTATCATCAGAGGATAGAAGCGAATTCGAAGGTAGCATCAGATATCAGATGAGAAAATTGTAAAAGACAAATCCATAAGCTGATCATCCCTTAAGCGGTTAAGCAAGACAACAAAAGATGGCCCCACAAACCCTTTAATTTTCAAACCCATCCCTCTACTTTTCATATTTTCGATTGTGCCCCAAACCCACCTACGCCCACAGTTTTAAATATTTCCATCTTCCCCCCCCAGTATTTTTCCCATTTTGCAAAACGTGAAAAGTGAAAAGTGAAAACCACCATGTTTTATAACTTAATTAAAAGACTTTCCTACTGGCTTAATCATAAATGTTTAACCTTTTATTTATTTTTAATTATTATAACTAAGTTTTAATTAGTACGTCCGTTATATCTACTTTACTAAATAAATTATCAAAAATAATTTAATTACGGTAATTAATAGATGATAACCCAAATTATTAAAAAAAAAACTAAAAAGATTAATTAGAAGAGATTCTTGAGCAAACAAGCGAGGTGTTAATGATGTGTTTAAGCTGAAGTCGGCCGACTCAGCAGCCGGCGGTTACTTTTCCGCCACGTGGTCAAACAATTGGCGGTTTTGGAGCCGCCACCACTTGCAAATTCCCTTCTCCTCCCGCCCACGGCAATTAACTGCCGTCTCTCTCTCCCCCTCTTTCCTTTTTTATATTCTCTGCAACTTTACCAGAAAAAGATATGCGCGGACCACCATTAAGAATCTTGTAATTCTCTCTCGTAGATCAACAGCAGTAAAACTGCAGACCTGGCTGCCGTTTTTAATCATCAGTCCCGAGACTTCAATCCTCTCTCTTTCTCTCTCTCTCTCTCTCTCTTCTCCTCCCTCCTTCGTTATATTCTCTGCAACTTAAGGAGACCACACGTGCAGAGCTCCATCAACAAGATTATATTTATCTTTTATCTGTATCTATTAGATAAACAACAGTAAAACCTCAGACCCAGCTACAATCTCGAATCATTTGTCACTAAATTTCCTTTTCCCGGCTGATGATGTCCGGAGTCGATTCCAGCCGCCAAACCATCGCCCAGGCAATCGGATGGCTACACGTGGCACTGATACTCTACCGAGCCAATGCGCAGACCCATACTCCAGAAAACTCATACGGCCTCTACAACACCTTCGATCCCGCCATGGCAATAGTTGTCGTCATCCTCGTCGGCGCATTTTTTGCCATCGGATTGGTATCCTTCTATCTCCGACAGTGCGCAGAAGTGGCTGCTTCCGCCGGATCCGGAAATATCTCTCTTGATGTCTCCCGGTCCCGACGACGTGGGTTGAATCGCGACGTGGTCGAGACCTTCCCGGTCTTCCTGTACTCCTCCGTGAAAGAGCTCAGGGTGGGTAAAGGGTCTCTCGAGTGTGCGGTTTGCTTGAGTGAGTTCGATGATGATGAAACGTTGCGTTTGTTGCCCAAGTGCAGCCACGTCTTCCACCTGGGTTGCATCGACGCTTGGCTGGCTTCTCACACTACGTGCCCTGTTTGTCGAGCTGAGTTAAAGCCCGAGTCTGGAAAAGTTTGTAAAGACGCTGCACAGTATCCTTCTGTTGAGTCCGATGCCGAGTCAAGTCATGTTGAAGCTCGAGCTGTCAATGAATCGGAAAATCACGTCGCCATTAATGTTAACCAAGACGAAACCAGTGAATTACCGGCAGGGGAAATAAAGCCCACCGTGAAGCAGAACCTACCAGTAATGCCAGGAATGTCGTGGAAGTTTCCGCGGTCGCACTCGACTGGCCACTCCCTTGGCCAACTCGGGGAGAGCACGGAGATATACACGCTGAGATTGTCCGATGAAGCAATGAAGTTGGTGGTGGCAAAGGTGAAACTGAAAAGGACCATGAGCTACGACGTCGTTTTGGCAGCCGAGGGAAGTTCAACGAAAGGTAATTGTAGAACCGGTAGTGAGTACCCACACCGCTGGGTGTTTTCCATGACTCCGCCGTTTGTTTCGAAGTCAGTCAACGTCAAGTTTCCGAAAACCTTCGTGGCAGGCGATGCAGAATATAGCACGTCATCGAACGTAAGGACGGCGTTGACGTCCGTTAACGTGCCGTTAAACTGTCTTAATTTGAAGGTTGAACAGGGCGAGTCAAGCTCCGGTAGACTTCCCGTTTGATACCCATAGGCATAGCTGTAAACTCCTGTTTGCAACGGGGTTGATTAGGAATTTAGGAATTATTTTGGCCCATTTTATTATTTTTAGTAATTAAATAAATTTTAAAATAAAATATTTATATTTTGATATTCTTTAAATTTTTATGAGTGAGATGAAAACACGGGTTGACTTTGTAATTTCATTTTGAACTCGTGCAAGAGTTGACATTGTAAAAATAGTACATGTTGGTCCTGCCACCATCAAATTATATATTTTTATTACCATAAATATATTTATATTTATATTAATAAATTTAATTACCATACACTAATAAGTATTAGCTTTAATTTTTAATATAAAATTTATACGGTCAAAATGTGCATTTGTACTTTATTTTTATAAAGTCAATAAGCTACTTGCCACATTAAGAAGTAGGTGGTCAATAAGCTTAAACAAACTTAATTAGACAAATTAGCAATTAACTCACTAATTAACCCCTAACTTCCTTTTGAACATTAATTTTCATAATTGAATTGCTCGAAATTCAATGTTTTTTTGGCTGGATCTACTCAAGGGTGATTTGATTTCAATTTACTTGCTCAAAATTTTTAAATGGGTCATCATGTATAGTTGACTTGACATATATATATATATATATATATCGTGATCTTAACAAAAAGTTAGGAAATTAACCAAAAAAATAAATTGTTTATCTTATGTGTACCATTATTTAATATTATATATATATATATGATTCTAAAAGATAATTAATTGATTGTTTTAAGAATTAATTAAACTTATATTGTAAATTTTTTAAAACAATGTAATTATAATTTGGCTTGGACCAAAATAACACCTTATAATTTACCCAATTATTTAAAGAAAAAAAAAGTCAAATCTAAAGCTTAATAGTTAGTTTACTCATAATACTTATTATCTTTAAAAAATTTAATTCATTTTATTTTTTTAATAGTTACTTGTACGTGATATATTTTAATTAATTATTATATAAATAAATATCACGTGATATTTTATATAAATTTTATTATTCTAAATATTAAAAAAAAAACAAACACACACACACCAACTCTTTCTTATCTTCTTATTCCTCCTCCCACCATCCCACCAACAAATATTTATTTACCAAATATCAAAGAAAGTCTCGAGATCTTATAGTAGATAAATTATATTATTTTATTTATATATAAATAAATATCATATAATCTATAAAAAAAAAAAACCGATGTATTGTATATCTCGTGATATATAATATTGTACTTCACTTACATAAAAAGATAATTAAAATATGTCGTAGCTTATATATTAAATTAAATTTTTTTAAAACTATGAATTAATTTTAGCAAAAATCAATAAAATGACTACTTAAAAAAAAAAAAAACAAATAATTATTTGTATCAATAAAATCATTTGCTTTTGGGCCCACAACCGCTTTTTGGTTTATTGATTTTCGGATTAGCATCAAACATTTTGACCGTTGGTTGATAATTATAATTATAATAATAATAAATATATATATATTAAAAATATATTAAACATTTAATAATTATTAATACGAGATTAATGATAATTTAATTTAATTAGTCTAATTAAGCCTCGTTGATTGTCTTTTCTCTTTTATTTACTCTTTTACTTTTCCCCACCTTCGACATGATATGATTTTCCTTTTTTGAGAACCGTTGTTGGGTGGGGTTTATTGAAAAAGAGAATATTATATAATTTTAAAAAATATATTACCATATAAATATATATATATAAATAAAGATCTTAACATTTAAGTGCCTACGCGCTAAGTCATAATTATATTTAAAATAAATTTAAATATTTTATGGGCAATTTTTCTATGATAATAAACTATCAAATTAATAATTGAAATTATTTTTATTATATATATGAAAATTTATGTATAATACAAAAAAGAAAAGCTAAATATAAAATGTTGAATTGTCAGAAATAATAGAGATTAAACTGTAATTAAATCAAATTAATGAGATAAAACTGTAATTTATGAGATTTGTCAATTAATTACTGTATATTATATATATATATATATTTCCTAAATAATATATTCTTTCAATTTATTTATTAAAAAATAAATAATTATTATAATTATGAATAAAAATAAATACAAATTGAGCCAACCCCACCAAAGTTAATTCATATCTTCCATTTCCCTTTTCGCTTCCATCGTCTTCTTCCTCAATTGTACCTGTCTCTGTTTCCTCTGCAGCTGAAAAGAATGGGACGAATAACAAATCTCAGGGACCTGATCGGGATGATCAAAGACAAGGCGTCTCAGAGCAAAGCAGCCTTGGTCTCCAAACCCCGAACATCATCTCTCCATTTAGCTCTACTCCGAGCCACGACTCACGATTCCCTCACGCCGCCGAGCCAGAGACACTTGGCCGTGTTTCTTTCCTTCGGCCAGGGCTCCCGCGCCATCGCATCTGCCGCCGTAGAGGCTCTCATGGACCGCTTGCAAACCACCCGCGACGCCTCCGTCGCTGTCAAGTGTCTCATCGTCGTCCATAACGTTGTCAAACACGGCAGTTTTATTCTCCAAGACCAGCTATCTGTTTACCCTTCGACCGGCGGGAGAAACTATCTCAAGCGCTCTGATTTCAGAGACAACACCTCTCCGTTAACGTGGGAACTTTCTTCTTGGGTTAGATGGTGAGTTCATCACTCTGGTTAACTCGTTTTCTCACCTCATCTTATCTTCTCCTCTTTCGAGTTCAGTATTCTGTTTTCTTTTTCTTCTTCTTCTTCTGATTTCACCTCTGTTTATCAAATTCCAGGTACGCTCTGTACCTCGAACATCTCTTATCAAGCTCTAGGGTTCTGGGCTTTTTCCTCGGTTCAAGTTCAAGCACTGTGGATAAAGACAAGGAGGAAGAAAAAGTCTCAGCTTTCATGAACAGTGATCTCCTCAGGGATATCGATACTCTAGCGAGTCTACTCGAAGAAACATCTAAAAGACCCGACTCAATTCACGCGCAAGGCAACAAGTTAGTGGAAGAGATCATGGTATTAGTGGGCGAAGACTATTTGTCAGCAATAAACGAGATTTCAATCCGAGTGAATGAGTTCAATCATAGAGAGAATTGCTTGAGCTTCGGTGACTCAGTTGAGTTAGTCTGCGCGTTGAAGAGACTAGACGATTGCAGAGAGAGTTTGGTCGAGTTGTCTCAGAGAAAGAGGGCTATGATCGAGAGCTTCTGGGGTCTGATTTATGAAGTGAGAGATAAGGTAGGGAACGAAAAGGTTTACAGAGAAAATAAGAGAATACTGGTTAAAACAGGGAGCAGAGAGAAAGGGAGTGAGTCGGCTCGGTACGGAGACCGAGTTGTGGGATATGGTGAGTCAATCAGGTCTATGTCGGGAAGGTCACTGAGCATGAAGAAGTTACCTTTTGCAGTTGCGGAATCAATTGGACTGTAAAAAGTTATTAAAACACAAAAAATTGAGTCCGTATTTATTTATTTATTCTCAAATTTTATTTTAAAAAATACACGATTGTTTTTTTTTTTTTTTAGTCAAATATATTAAATTAGTGTACAAATATTCAGCGAAATTAAATAAAAAATTATATTTGTAATAATTATTTTTGTAAATATAAATATAATAGACTAATATAAAACAAAAAACAAAAAAGAATTTTAAGTCATAAAATAAAACCAATAGGCTTTTAGCATTTAATTTAGCGGTCAACGTGTGACAACGACCGGTCAACAAGAGCCTGATTTCGACAGTCCACGTGGCAATTCATCTTTGACCAAGTCCGTCGGATCCACCATAATAAACCACCCCCATCTACTCCATAATTAATTATACTTTTCTTGATCAAATATATATTTAAATTTCTTTTAATTACGATTAATTAACCTTAAATCCATTTTTAAATGCATAAAAGATCATTGTGTCAAAATAAAAACATGTGCTAATTTATCCAACATTACTTAATTATAATATTTAAAAATACAAATTTATATATTTCAGAGAAAAAATATAGTTATAAAAAAGGTCCCACCGAGATTTGAACTCGGGTTACTGGATTCAGAGTCCAATGTCCTAACCACTAGACCATGGGACCTGCTTGTGCATTTTGGCCATTTGCTTCAATTATCAATGCGAAAGCAGCCTTGGGCTTTACGTTACAAATATATTTCTGTGCTAACAGGGCCCATTAAAATAGAAAGGAAGATGGTAATGCCTAATCTATATATATATACACACCTACAGAAAGTTAGTGTTTTAATATATTTGAAGGGCTTTAGGTTTATGTGTGTATATACATATATATATATATATATCATGTAATTGATTAATATATGTATTTTTGTAATAATTAGTTTTTTTTTTTCATCTCATTATGATGCACTTTGTAAAATAAAACTTTGGTGTATAGATTTGGTAAATTGCTTATATTATCACTACTTTAATTATATATAAAACTTACTATCTCCCATTCTAATTATATTTTTACAAATATATATATATATATATATAATACATTATTTGAGTTCGATAAAATGTTACCAAATAAAATACTTGATCTCTCAATTTAATTACATTTTTTTATGATAAATTATAATTTCGAATCATATTATAATCTCATAATGTAAAAATTACTTTTATTATATCATGATTAGTGTACTTTTTATTAGATCCTTAATGAACATATTAACGTAATTAAAAATAAATTAATAGAAAAAAAGTTATGAGAGAGATGGCTTGTAATCATTAATTAGTGAAACAATTAGCCTCTTGCATTTGAATCATTACAATTGATTCTTGTTTTCTTAATTGTCATTATTACGATCTTAATCTTAAATTAATCGATTCTCTTGAGCTTTCTCTGCCCATTTCCTCACGTGCATGCTTGCTTTCTCTGCCTGCAATAATTAATTCCCACCAAATTTAATCATATATATAAATTCTTAACTAAGCAATAATAATTAATTAAGAAAATCAAACTTGGGAATAACTAATTAATTAATTAATTAAATCTCACCTCTTTATCCCAATCGCATCTAATGGTAATTATACTCAGTATCAGAGTTTGGATTGCTGTCCCTCCAAAAATCATTCCAGCCCAAATTCCCTGAAATGTAATTAATTAAGCATAATTTCAAAACTAATCAGGCAATAATTAGGATTAAAACTTGTAATACACATACCATGACTCCTTGGTTAAAAACCCATCCCATCAAAAAGCCGAGAGGAACACCGATTAGATAATAGCAGCCCAAGTTTATATACGCCACGTATGATTGCCACCCAGATCCCACAGCAACCCCTACGCAAATCAATAGTTAAAATTAATTAATCATGATTAATTAAAACGTTAATTTCAATTAAATGTTAGTTAATTAATTACCGGAGAGAATAGGCTGGACACTGTTGAGAAGGACTGTGAAAGCCAAGAGGAGAGAAAGCTTGTTGACGGCGTTAAGAACCGGCGGACTGGAAGAGAAAATCCAGCCGAGTTGACCGTGGAAATTTATTATGAGTAGCCAGAAAAATAAACCTATTATTGATGACGTCACTACCGCCACCGTCGTGGCAAACTTTGCTCCTTTCCCGTTCCCAGCTCCCAGCTCATTCGCCACCCTAACTCTGAATAATATGTAATTAAATCAAATTATAATTTAATTATATTTTTAGTAAAAGTTTAATTAATTAAGTAATATATATACACTTATTAGTGTGTATATATTTAATAAGAAGCAACATGCAAACTTCACGTGTCGTTCTCTTCGTTTATCCCACCAACCCCACGTACAGACATACTCGTCGAAAAGGTCAAGACTACCCACCAAACCCTTCAGTATCCCTGTCAAAGCACATATCTATGTGTATGTATATGTGTATACTAAATATCAGGGAAGTAGAGGAGGAAGTTCGCACGAAATTTACACGACCAAATTAAAATTACGACTGAAGATTGACTGTATATACATGTATATATACAGACACGAGGAAATATATAAACCCTGTAGTGTTAACCAAGAAAAGAACGTCCATGCACGTACGTCATGTAATCAGTGGCTTAAAACACAAAAAAGACAATTATCATTATCATTAACTAAATTCTTCTTGTTATTGTAATTAATAATGGAAGAGAAACTTAGTATTCTAAAAATATATATATATATTTATATTATACGGGCCTCTACAGGAAAAGCAAAGGCCGAAACTGATAGGGCAGATGAGGACAATTCGTGAATTAACATCTGGAATTTTCTGGGTTTTCTAGTACGTGCATGTTCTCTAAATTAGATTAAGACAGGCTGTTCAGATATCGATTTTGAGGTTTTCATATTTTATGTATTAATCCCGTAATTAAGTCTTTCTAAACTAAACTTATTTGTATAAACGATGACTAATCAAATTCACTAAATTAATTTTTCTAATAAGTTAGTGGTGGGGTTACTGTTAGGTTTCAAATTGACGTATAATTAAAAAGTAGATATACGAACATGGCCATGCACGCCCAACTACGTGTCACACCATCTCCTTCTTAGCCGCTTAAATCCACATACATATGTATACCCCACACGTGTGTATATATATATATATATATGTATGTCACACATATACATGTAACATACGTCTGTATGTATTTGTGTGCGTGTATGTGCGTAACCTAACTTAAGCAGTGTCCAGAAAAAAGTGAGTTCGGCCCGTGAAACCTATATGATTATTGCTCAAAAAAAGTTGGAGCCTTTGGCCTTTTCCGGTTCGTAAAAAGTTTTACCTTTTTTTTTTTTTTTTCTGCCAATCTGAGCTATTGATAATATAAAATATATCCTGCATGTGCTATATCTAATTATATTTATATTTTTCAATAAATTAGTAGAGAGGTTAAATTTGAGCCTTTTAATTTAAATCGAGGAACGTCTTGATTATTTTAGTAATATAAATGTAAAATAAATTATTAGAGTAAGTATTTACCCGGTTCCAGCAAAGAAAGCCAGAGGAATCATCATTTCCCAGCCGTTGATCGTCATGCTGCCAGACAAGACAAATCATCACAGTAGTCAGAAATCCGTATTCGTCTGCAGAAATGGAACCCATGCAGCAATATATATATATATATATTTTTTAATGAATGAATGGAATATTAATGTTCTTGCTATAATAATTGTTAATTATTATGTAAATAAATACGGACAAGACATGGGTCAGTCAAATACATACCATATAGACAGAGCGTCCACGGCTATTTCTGCGTTCTTCAGATTTCCTGTCATCAGTATTAAGATTCTGTAGTACCAATTCTCCAAGCTATAATTTTTTGTCCAAAAAGAAAGAAGAAACTGAATTAAACCCTGAAAAAATAAAAGTTTAAAGAGTAAGCTAATGATGATTATATACCATAGCATGACACCAGATGCAGCGGAGAGCTTGAGGAAATCCCAGAGACCAGAAAAAGCTTCAATGGAGAAACCAGTCCACGTTTTCGGACATCCACCACATACGGTATAAGCAAAAAGCCCGAACACCAAAACCCACCATGAAAAATTCAAAGTTATGGCGGTGCCGATCACTCCCAGCTGCATCTTGTAAACAAACAGCCAACTTACAAACACGTGCACCAGCAGCGCCACCAGCGACACCCACGCGATCACGATGTTCTTCAGCTGGCTCTGCAGGAATCTCTGCAACGGAAACTGAAACGCAAAGCTGAAGTGTAGCGGGATCATGCAGAGTGAAACGACGCCGCATAGCTCCGCCACTTCCGTCGGCTGGCCGAGGAGTTTGAGGAACGGAGTGGAACATAGGTAGAGCGGCAAGAGGAGAACGCAGCAAAGGAAGAGAACAATCCAAGATCTCTGCATGTAGACGCCGAGCATGTAATATTTCTTGGCGCCGAATGCTTGGCCGCATAGTGTTTCTAATGCGCTCGCCATTCCCAACTGGTAAAAATTTATACAGTCATATAGAAATCAATTATAACATAAAAGAACACAACTTTAGTCAACAACAGAGTGATGAAGAAGGGTTTGTTTGGATACCAGGAGGCCGAAGTCGAAGCCGACGATGACATTGTTGGCGATGGAGATGGCGGCGAGCTCAAGATCGCCGAGATGGCCGGCGAAGGCTTGAGTTATAACCAACATGGAATAGGAAGTGATCCGGCTGAAAATGGCTGGACCCACTATTTTCCACAGCTTCTTTGATTCAATCCAAACCCTTCTTGTCAAACTCTGACCTTCTCCATAATCATCACCGAACCCATCAGCTTTCACCAGTTGATTCTGATGATCGCCATGATCGCCTACATCTCGTAACAAAGGAACCTTGCTTTCCTCCACTCCTCCCTTGCTACCCATCTCTCCGTTCCTCTCTCCCTCTCTGTCTCTCTCGGTATACCTATATATGTCTCTCTCTGTGTAAGCTTTTTCTTTACGAGATGAGAAAAAATCAGGAGGAGAAGACCAGAGAGCGAAAGTGAATAGGCGTTGGTGGTGGCATATTTATAGACATATACTGTCGTATGTGCGATTTGCAGTGAGTGGTGTCCAAGTTTTTTAACCCATCTCTCTGTATAATTTATTCATTTTGTTATTATATATACAAATATATAAGAAATACTGGTGTTATAAGTATACAAATACGTATCCCTCTTTAATTTGTCCACCATTTTACTTCTAATTAATTAACAATAATACTTTTTTTAAGGAAATTAATCATAATTAATTCACACAAGCAGCATATTACTCGTGCAAGAAAAAGAAAACGACGCCGTTTGCCGTACAAATTGCTAACTTAGATAAGTTAGCCATGAAATTCCAGGATTAAAATGCTAACAGGAAACAAGAAATTAAATAAATAAAATAAAATAATTATATATTTTTATATTAATTTCTATAATTATAATTTAAAAAAATTATGAAAATTAATATAATTAACTAAAATTAATTATTTAAAAAAAAAAAATTGGAGAAAAAAATGTTCTGGTAAGCACCAGAAGAGTATGATATGATATGATATGTATGGGTGAGAAGGGATGATGGGGAGGCGGCGTGTTTGTATGGTTATAAATTAATGGTGTGTTTGCAAATGGTAAGAAGTGAAGAGTGATGATGTCATTGCTGACCGCATCTTTTTCCGTAGTCATCATGTCGCATGTGGATATGCTTTCCATACCATCATCCGTCCTCATCTACATACATTATGATATTTAAAATTAATTCATATGTAGAAATTCCTTTCCAATTTCTCTTAATTTATTAAAATAATAATTCCATTTTCGAATTCTTCAAATTACTAAAAAATAATAAATACAAAATTATTAACGATATTTAAAAAAATAATATGATATTTCATTCACATATTAAAAAATATACATAATTATTTATTTTTATATAAAAAAATTTAAATTTAAATTTTTTAAAAATTAAATCTTAAAAACTAACTATTCATAATTTTAAAATAGACAGTTCTCGTAAAATTAAAGATTTATTGTAAAGAGACACGATTATTTGTAAATTTATAAAAAAATATAACTTTTAATAAATATATAAAAATAAAAAAAATTATTTATATTTATTTTAAAATATATATATTATAATTTTCTCGTATTGAATTAAACCATAAATAAATTTAAATTTTATGATATAAATATTATCTAAAATTCTTATAGTATTTAAAAAAAATAAAATATATCAATAATTATTTTATGTGGGTAAAAAAAATAAGTATCTTATTATATTTTTTCCGCAATTAGATATAATATTTTTTTAACAATGTGTATATATATATATATATATATGGGTATATGTATGTATTATGCGATTCGTGTACTATAAAATTTGGGAGTTCAATAAAAGTGGCTAGTCTATTATTCAATAGGTACTTTGCAATTTATGGAATTTAATATTGTGGGGGAGGGAATTGGTCATTGGCTTTTCTTGTACCGGCTATTTTCATGTCGAGTTATTTCATTTAATGAGACCACCACCCATCAATGGTGGTGGTGGGGATTTCATTAATTTGTCCGAACATTATAAAATTAACTTTATGGAATTTTTCTTTAAATTGATGTGAGAAATTTTGACATTAAATTTATGGACCAACCCGAAATTTTCTTTTTTAAAAAATTGGGAATTCAAATTGAAATTTTAAAAGATGGGCCTTTGATAAGAGTTTCTTTATTTAATTAATTTCAATGTAAAAAAAAAAAAATATATATATATATATATATACTAAAGTCCAAACCTTATATTTTATTGGACTCTCTCCATATAGGTCCAATATGATTCAAGTCGGCCTATTGTCTCATTGGGTTATTTCTTTCCTTTTTTCAAAAAAAAAAAAAAATGGTTAAAATTGAGAATTGAATTGGAATTCTTTAGTAATTAAATGAAAACTTTAATTTTTAATTGATAATTTAATTTAATTATAGGATTTAAATTATGGGACTTTGAAAATTTAATTTATATGATGTAATAAGGAACTGGATCAAGATCAAAACGGACGGGGCACTCCGTAAGAGCACCGGCGTGGCTTTGTGCATGTGGGATCGACGGAGATAACAACAAATAGTGACTCGGAGGTCATTTACGAAACATTAGTACCTGCTCCGTCTCACAGGCTGAGCTTTTAAGAGGGTTCTTAATGATTTGGAACTGACTTAAAACATATATTCACGTAACGTTATTTTCAAGATGGACAGTGCACTTGTTGTTCAAATTTTGAATATAGTTAATTTTAATTTGATTCTAATTATAAATACTTAGAAAATATTAGAATGTCGAGATTATCGTGAGGGAAATTGTTGTACTAATTTCTTAGTGAATTAGGTCTTCTGCTAACCCTTTGGATCCTATTACATATAACACTCTTGTACGGAGCTCACGAACATCGTGAGAGAGAATCTCATTGCAATCTCTTGATCTATAACGTGTAATTTTGAGAATTGTATTTGTATTTTACTTGTTTTATTTTGTGTTTGTATCGTTTACTTTGTATAAAAAAATAAAAATTTATTTATTGAGCAAACTTTTTAAATTATAGTAAAAATGATGATGAATTTATAAATTTAAACAAATTAATTAATCATGTGAAAATGTTGTTTTTTTTTTTTGTCTTATGCACGGAGGTGATGGTGGTGCCTTTTCCATTTTTCTAAGGTCAAACCTAAAACGTTGAAAAAAGTAAATTCATTTCATTACACCCTACATATATATATATATACACACACACACGCATACATGGTCGCCCAAATTTAGCAACAACTTTTATGAATACTATTAATTATTTAATATAATTTGATAGTAACTTATTAATTATATAATATACATAAAATCAACATTTTATTATAAGTCAACGGTAACAATAAAAATTATTATTACCAAATTTTAGTGGGCAGGAATATTATCAATATGGGTAAAAATTAAAGGGTCAAATTTTATTTTTTACTATTAAAAATTACCGTGAAATCATGCATAATTAATTTTCTTAGTTAAAAAAAAAATGTCAATAATTAAAAAAAGAATAAGAAACTGTTTTATTCAACTGTTATTTGATTTACACCAATTACCCATCTCTACAACCAAATCCCAACCCTCCATTAAAATCATCATCAGCTCCATCCCCAACCCAAATAATGGAATCATTAACACATAAAAAAATACAGAGAGTGAAATTAAATAACCTGAACAAACGAAATAAAGATAAGAAAAGGTGACAACAGTAGGAAAACAGCTCAAGAAGACAGATCTCGTGAATCATCAACATGTAAGAAAGAAAAGGTAATAAAAGTCAAAAGCCGCCGGCTACTCTTAATACCTCTAAGCCAAAACGACGCCGGCAAAGAGAACTCCAGCAATGGCGGTTGCGGCAACGAAAGCCCTGTTGATCCACCCGGCATCGAAGCTTCCGTTTCCAGAAGGGGGAGAGTCGGCGCTCGGCTGCGCTGCGGGTTGGCCGGAGGGGGTGCCGCTCGGGGGAGCAGGTGGGGAGGAAGAAGAGCTGGGAGCGGGAGTAGGCTCGGCTGTGGGAGGAGTGACGGGGGTCGGAGTTGGGGGAGAGACGGGCGGTGGGGTTGGTGCGGGCGGTGGAGTGGCGGGCGGTGGGGTTGGTGCTGGGGGTGGTGTTGATGGAGGTGGAGACGGTGTTGGTGTTGGTGCTGGCGGTGGAGGTGGTGTCACCGTCGGTGCAGGAGCCGGCGATTGAGCGATACATGAGGTGGCCAAGAGAGCCAAGACCATGAAAAGCTGAAAACTTCTAGTATTCATCTTGAAAAGCTGGCGAAGGATCTGAGTAGAGAAATTGGAAGAGAGAAAAATTGAAGTTTCTGATGCAGATGCAGAGACAGATAGAAGAAAGAACTATATAGCGAAGGAGATGGGGAAGGAGGCGATTATTAAAAGGGAAGAAGAAAAAGTGAGGAAGATGATAATAATTTATTTTATTTTTCCTTCTTTAATTATATTAGATTCCTGAAATAATAAAATATAATAATTATTGACATCACCATGTGTTTATGTGCATACCAACCTACCCCATATATACATATATATAATATATGACGTGGGTTACGTTAATCAGAGATTAATAATACGAAATAATTTATAAAAAAAAAATGGTAATTATTTTTTTATTTGGGTAAAAAAAATTCATTAGTAATTTACTAAAAATTATTTATTCTTTTGCCAGTTGCCCACTCATTTGCTCCCTTTTTCTTTGAAGTTTCTTTACGAATCGGGCAAGAACCTAATGGATACAAGCTGGAAACGACCGACACGTGTCATTTCGAGAGGACCGTTTTGGTAACATCATTATATTGGGGAAAAATATTATTATTATTATTAATTTAATTTTTAAATAACAATTTAATATATAACTATAAAAAATAATTCACCTGGCGGGTGGCGCTCTCCGTTGCTCCCTTTCTTCTTGGGAGTTTCTTCACGCATCAGATAAGGACCCACCGTATACAACCTGGAAAGCGACCGACACGTGTCAGTACCACAGTGGGGTCACCGTTTTGGAAAGGTCAATTAATTACGGATTATGGTCAATGACTCAGCAGCATTCCCCCCCCCCCCCCCCCCACGGTATCACATAATTACATTTGAACAGCTGTATAATTATTATTTTCATGTTGAGGTGAGTAAGATATCTCTATCCCTAATTACAATTAAAATCACAATTAAGTCCTGCTAATAATAATATTAAGAAGAATTTGTAACTTGGTCTCGCACCGCGTTAACCGTTCCAGGCGTTGAAGGGACACGTGGCGAAAACCCATCTGAGGATTTTGATCATTAGCCTCTGATAATGAAGGGACCCAGTCAAAGCAGGGACCCGGCACACGTGTCAAGATCAAGTGACCGTGATTTTTTGACGGGGACTCCCGTTATGGAGTTCGTGGGTCTAAATTAAATTATATGTTGTATGTGTTTTTATTAATTATTTTGTTTCGCCATATAAATATCATTAAATTATTAAAATATATACTTTTTTAAAAAAATTTTAAAATTAAATTATTATTATTATTTTTTAAATAATGTGTATGGATAGAGATTAGCTGTGTTATAGCCGTTTTGTGGTGCTTGTCAAGATAATTGGGGAGAGAGAAAAAAAAAAAAAAAAAAGAATTTTAAAAAAAGACACAAATAATTTAGCCGTTGCAAATGGGGAACAACTAACATGCCCTCTTGGTGTACCGAAGATGTCCACGTGTTATTGTCCTACTTTTAATATTTGTTTAATCACTTTAAATTCTCAAAATATAATATAAGTATTTTAAATTATAATAAATACCATATTTCCAAAATTAATTTAAATTATAATAAAAATCACACAATCTCTCTCTAAATAAAAATATAAAATGTATTTGGGTTTATTTTAAATTACATATTCGTTAAAAAATGGATATTACAAGAAATTAATAAATTTAATAATTCTTAAATAGGTGAAAAATATTAATTAAAAAAAAAAAGAAAATTATAATAGAGATGAGTTGTGACCAAAAGTATGAATAGGAGTTGGCACAAGCTGGCAAAGGATTAGATGCATTCACCTTATTATTATTATTATTATTTTCTTTAAAAAATTATTATTTGAAATTACGGAGATTCATGATTAGCACAAAATTAAGTTAATTAATCAAGTGTTCTTTCTTCTGATTGGATGACCAGTTTGTAACCCTAAAATTAATGATTAGAGTGGTTTCAACGCAGGACACAATTTGTTTATCTCATTACAAAAGTGTGGGAGAATTTGTGGTGTGGGATTGGGTATAAAAGAATAATTGAAAAAGCTTGGTACTTTTAATTTCTTAAAAATATAATAATTCAACTTTTATTCCGATAAATAAAATTATTAATAAATATTTTTTATATATAAAAAAATTATAAATTTAAATTAAATCGTTCGTACTCTTTATATTTTTTTTTATAATAATTATTTTATTTGTATCATTTAAAGTTCTTCCGTGAGTTTTGATTAATAAACGTACAATTTTTTTAAATTTTATCTGATTCGATTCAGATATTTTAAATATTTTTTATTTTTTATATCTAATTAATTTTTTTATAATTCTACAAAACAAGAATAAAATTTTTATTTTTTTTAGTGAATCACATGAAATTTTACCCAATTACATATATATGTTATTGTAATGTATGAATTAGGTATGGTAAAGTGTGAGCTATAAATATAAACCATATATATATATATATAAACACTCACATAGACATACACATAGAGACAGAGTATAAGTTACTTTTAACTCCAAGCTCATTTAAATTAGAAACACTTTCAAAACAATTTCCAAAGAAAAAACAAGAGAAGAGAATATTGCTTGCCATAGAAAAAGAAACCGTCATAATCCAAAATGGTTTTGTCTTTAACAAGTCTTTTTCCTTTGAATAATTATACTTTTAATCAGTCTTTAATTCAAATAATTATCTTTTAATGGGGTCTTTTTCTTTGAATAATTCATCTTCTAACGTGTATAATGGTATAAGTCAGCCATTAACGGACATACTATTCTTGGTCGTTCAACCAAGACCCTGGCCGGCAAAGAACCGGTCTAAAAAACTCATTTCTCACAGTCGTCTCACAGAAAAAAAGCTTCAGTCCCATAAATGGTTACTAAATTTTGCATGAAATGCTGAAAGTTTAAGTGGTTTCCCGAAAAGATCTGTACGAAAAACCATGGGTCTTGACCCCATGTCTCGGCTCGGCTCGTTAGGGTTGGTTTGCTTGCTGTAAGAACAAGAAATGGAACTTGTTATGACTGCAAACTCTTTTCTTACAATTTACCAGGTGGGGAAGATGATCCAAGCAGGCATAACAAGTTGTCTTCACCAGAAAAATCAGAAAAGATCTTTATAAGCAATATAAAAAGTTGGAATATATTCTCTAGGCAAAAGAATAAGTTGCCAGACATTATAAGCATGTGCATGCGCAGTGTAATCATTTTATCAACCCAAAAAGGAAGATAATGCACTTGTCCTCCACAAACCCCCCTCCTCCCCTGTACGAGCAAGAATAAAAGATCCAGAGAGAAAATGGAAAGAAAAACCAGGAATTTACCAACGCGGAGATCATGTCATTCTGAAGCTTTGCTTCAGTTTGAATCTCTTGTGCCACCTGCAGAGATTTTAGGAGTTTGAAGTGCGAGAAGTATATAATGTCGGAATGACTTCGAGTCCAGCAAAAGCCGCAGCTTTCGGTGTCATGCAACAACAATAAAACCCATCATGCAGGCCAAGTGTGAACACCATTAATCCCCTTTTTTATACTCATGAAAACTGGATTAAGTCCAACAAAATCTGCCTTTCCTTTCAAACGTAGGCATAATTTACAGACAGAAAGTAAAGATTTTTAAAAACCAACTCAAGAATTGGAATGATTTACGACAGTTTCTCATTGATGATATCATAAACGTTTTTGGTACAGAATGTGCAGGACGACTTCTTAATTTTTTTAACTTTTACTTCTCTTTGTAACAAAAAAAAAGAAGATAGGTTAGAGTGTTGTCCTCAGTTTCCGACGTATATAACAAGAACTATGGCCAAAATTGTGATATCAACCGGTCTAATTAAGCTATTTTTAGCACAAATTCAGAAATTTCGTAGCATTTTTTGATTAAATCTGTATTTAGTTTAATTAGAAGATTGATAAAATCTTTCAAAAAATAATAAAATTTATCCTCGTATAGAACCCTACGCGGAATTATAACAACTCAATCCAAATTTCATTAGTTTCAATGGGAATTTGAAATGTAATGTTTTATTTTTATGTAAAATTTTATATAAAGATAGAGGATATTCAACATTATAAAGAAAAATATATTCAAAGTATTAAGATATTCTAAATTATTTAAAATAAAATTTTTAATTAAAAATACATAATTATATATTTAGATAAAATATTGATTATAAAAATAATTGTATATTTTTTAAAAATAAAACAAAATATATATTTATCAGAGATATTTTATAATTTATGTTATTATGTACATTACTAATTTTAAGTAGATATAAAAAATAAGAAGTTAAAAAATTATTTTTTATTAAAAATGCATTTTTAAAATATAATAAACATTTTTAAAATATAATAAGCTTATCATATTTTCAAAACGTGCATATTACCATGGAAATAAAATTAATAACAATAATTTTCAGTTTATGAAAATATTAAATCAAAATAATTAAAACTTAATTGATTGAAATAAAATATTTGATACTTAATTAAGTAAATTATTTAAGTTTTGATACTAAATAAATATATTTACTTTTAAAAAAAAAAAGAATTATAAATAAATTTATTGCAAAAAAGAAGTGTGTGAAAATAAAACCAACCACAGAATATCAGAGCCCAACGGTTAATGGTGTCCGTCAATTCTCGTTGGCGCTAAAAAAAGTCATCAGTTTCTACGGCTCATCACCGTCGTTCCCGGTAAACGCAATCATCCAATCACAACACGAGAAAATTCCACGCATTTCAAAGCATAGTAAAACAAAAATATTCTACTACCAAATTTCAAAATCCAGACCACCAAAAAAAGAAAAAAAAAATCAGAGAGAATCAAACCAGGCGAGACCTGACCTCACGCGCCACCAGAACCTGAAGAAACTTTCAGCAGCATGGAACCGCCCAAGGCAGAGCCCGAGACGAAAATGGAATCACAGATGAAGGATGATCCGCCTCGTAAACCCGATCAGCCTGATCCGAAACCTGCGGATCATGCACCGGATGGGGACGGGCGTTCGGGAGACAGCAGCAGCGTCGTTCCGGGATCAGAATCTCAAGCTCAGAATCAAAGTGAAAGCGAGGAGAAAGTTGCTCAAGCGGAGCAATCGCTGAATCGCACTTCCTCTGTGTCAAAGAAATCGGTTCGTTGGAGCCCTGATTTGGTAACGGAAACACCAGCGGGGAATCAGAGCTCTAATTCTTATGTTGTGCCTTCTCCTGCGAGTTCCCTGCCTTTCTCTATGAAAGGTAACATGCGTGTATCTCATACGTATATTGAACTTTTTATGGCGTATACGATGCGTGTTTTTTTGTTGCTTCTGTTCTTAATAGTTTTGAATTGGAATAGATACGATGGAGAATGTGAAGGGAGTGCTGGGGAGATGGGGAAGGAAGATGGGTGAGGCGACGAGAAAGGCAGAGGATCTTGCTGGGAACACCTGGCAGCACTGTGAGATTCGATATTTTCCTTTTTTTTTTTCTGAATTTTCGGCTGCTATTTTGATGTGTTTTTTGGTTGTCAGTTAATTTGTTGGATATGAATATCGCTTTGTTATGATGTACATGTGTGATGATTTTTTTTTTCTTTTTTGATATTAGAAGATGTTTGCAGAGGTATCCTCTGTTAGGTTTCGTTAATTTGCCCGTGCATGAGGTAATTCTTGTTTCTCAATTCTTTGCAAATGCTGATATTGCTTTTACTTTCGATTGCGAGGAATACAAGATTTTCTTGCTGAAGTAAATTTGTTCATTGAGGTTTTGGATTTAGGCCAACTGTAATTGTTATCATCCGTTTAGTTTGGAGTTGTCAATGTGGGTTGAAGATCATTCTGGTTTTTGACTAGCTATGTTGGACGCATTGTTTATTGCATGAGATGCTGATCAGAAGAGAAATGTGAAATAACTAACTACATTTTTTTGTTCAAGATCATTTTTGCAGTTTCTATATTCATGGTTCATTTTTAGTGTTTAAGGATGTGTTGCTTTGAAAATGGATGCTGATGAGATAATTAGATGATGAAGGACTGGTGAAGTTTAAAGATTATTACAACAAAAAATCCCACTAGTAAACCTAAAGATAAATAGATACACTCCCTTATGTAAGAAAATAATACAATTCAGCTAATCATGCACATAGTGCAATGTTTATGTAAGTGAAGAGGATGTAAATTATGGGAGGCTACCTGGCTCATATGAATTCTTCACTACGTCTTTGGACAGCTCTTTGTCTTCCCTTCGATGTTAGAATGAAAAGGATTCTAGGGATTTGTGTTGAAATTCTTCTCTTTTACTCTAGTTTGAGAAAAAAGAGAATTTTGTAATTAGTGGAGTACATGAAACTTTTTTTCCTGTCTTTTAATTGAAGACTTCGTTATTTTAGATTTCATAGAAAATAAGTTTTGTACCTTAAAGAATATAAAGAAGTCATTTATGGGTTCTACGATGTAATGAACCATCACCAAATTTGAGGTCTTCATATATAGAGCAAGATGCTCTCTTCTCTTGGACTTTCTCAGTCTAGATCCATCTTCTTTAGGCAGTTACTTGAATATTCTCTTATATTAAAATCCATATATTCTTTTTTGGCCAACTATAATTTACATTCTAAGAAAAACAATTTTTCTTAGTCAGTTGTGTGACAATATGATGCAAAATGAGGTAGCAATATATTTCTTAAATAGTTTAGAAATTGTAATAATATTAAATGTAAAACTACTATACCATTTAGAAATCTATTCTACTGATGAGTATTATTATAGTTTTAGTAATTTAAATTTTTTATTCTTATTAGTATTTTCCTATTTGTATTAGGATTAATGTTCCTAATTCTATTATTTTACTATTTCCTAATTTAATTCTAGTTAGGAAAAGATTATTACAAATAGCTTTGTAATTTTATTTATTAATCATTTAAGTATTCAATAATAAATTTTAAGAGAATTTCTCATTGAGAGATTAATGAATATAAGTCTCTCCTAAGTATACTTTCCCTTGTCAATCTAATCGGGAACAATGATCAACCATTATAGTACCCCAAGGATAATTGATCCTTCACAGTCAAGTCATACTACAACCACTTGGTCAAGAATGAAGTTGCCGAACACAGGTTTCTGTTTAAGCAAATATAGAAGGCGAATGCTCATCCCATAATTGCTTTTTCTCCATGGAGGCGGGACGATGGTGCATCTTGACTATTGACAAATTTGTGAGAAGAGGAAAGATTATGATGAATAGCTGCTATCTTTGTAAAAAAGAAGCTGAATCCTGTAATCATATTCTATTTTGGCGCTCGTTCGCATTAAAGTTATGGAATATGGTTTATGGATTATTAGGGATTAGCTGGGCAATAGCTGACTCGAAAAGAGATTTGGGTCTGTAAAGGTATTAGTAATGGGCGGAAACATGTGGGCTTTATTCCTCTTTCTATTTTATGGTGGTGGGAGGAGAGAGAAAAGAGAGCTTTTGGGGGGTGGAAGAGGATTTTGTTAGAATTAGGACTAGATAGTTCTGAAATTTAGGTTTTTTGGTTATGGGGCATCCTATTCATCCTATAGAGGATTTTGTGATTTTATCGATATATTTACTAACTTGTAAATATTTTTGTACATGGGTGACACCCTCTTGATGCTTGTAAATTGATGAATATACTGTATTTTTTATTTTAAAATATTTTTTTGGAGAATTTCCATAATTAATTGTGTGATTCAATCAACCTTTAGGTATGATGCCTGAGAACCTTAGGTGCAATATTTAGGTTTTTTTCCTAATTTTTAATAAGAAATTGAGCTACAATGGGATGCCTAGATTCTTTAAGTTTAGCTATCAAGTGAGAGAAATGTAGCGGAAGAAGAATGAATGCTGAAAAGTTCTAGACCCTTAATGCCCATTAACGGCCTTTTTGTCTTTCTTTTTTTTTTTTGTTTTGGTGAAATAAACAGCTTTTTTGTCTTTCAAGATTAGAAATCAAGAGACAGAGAGGGTCCACTGAAACAAAATGTACTTTTCAAACTTTGTGCAATTAAAAGATCCAACTCTCTTTTTGTTTGTTATGTTTCTACAAATTATGATAACAAAGGAAAAACTTTCTTTTTAAACCAATATATTTTGCCCAAATTCTAATTGCTCTTGTGCCAAGTATGGAACTTAATAAACAGTTAATCGGAACTTCAAACTAGAATAATGTCCCAATTGTTAAGTCTACTCCTCCTTGTAGCTAAAATTAGTATTTGTGATATTTCATGCCCATACTTTGTACCATGATTTGAACGTACTGCATTCCGGGTACCTATGGTCTAACTGTGTCCCTTTCATGTCAAATTAGTGAAAACATCTCCAAGTTTTGCTGAGGCTGCTATGGGAAGAATTGCTCAAAGTACAAAGGTTCTAGCAGAAGGTGGTTATGAGAAGATCTTTCGACAAACTTTTGAGACAGTTCCTGAGGAGCAACTGCAAAATTCATATGCATGTTACTTATCTACATCGGCCGGTCCGGTCATGGGAATTTTATATGTATCTACAGCTAAACTTGCATACTGCAGTGATAATCCTCTTTCATATAAAAATGGCAACCAGACTGAATGGAGCTATTATAAGGTATGTTCTTCATGGTATTTTATTCATGCCATTAGAAGGGTAGTCGAAACCAAGAAAAAAAAAAGTAGGAAGGTCCTCGTTATTGTTGTTTGTTAGGTTTAGGGAAGCACGAGAACATGTTTTGTGGTTTCAAGTGAATAATGTATGATGGATTATCAAATTTTATAAAGGACTTATTGGACTTCAACAAGATGGGTATTTTTAATATACTAATATGTTCTCTGTTGTTCAGGCGCTTTTAGGTTCTGTTAGAATAGGAATTTTTATGGTTCCTGGAAATAAAAAATTTCCAGATATGTAAATCCTATTTTTTATATCCTAGAACAGGCGCCTATCATAAATATGTTGGTATCTACTTTTATTTTCCTTCTAACACTGCAAACACTTTTTGTTGATAATTGCTCATGGGATCTGTACTTCCAACAAACATCTCATGGCTGTAGCTCATTATCATATGTTTTTCGGGCACAGTACGCAGGATATACCTGCATTAGAGGATTTTATTGTTGAAGATTGTTCCAACGGCTGTCTTCAACTTAGAGAGTCTTGCCCTGTCAGGTCAAGGTAGTCAACCCTATTACTTTTATGCATTAAGCAAGGGTTTAATGCTGTGTCCTGAGTTCACAAACATTCTCCTTAATACTTTGCCTTTCCGGGAAGCAGGGCCTATTAATAAAATCGGGTACATAATCTTTTGTCTCATTTATACATGTTAAATGCAATGCACACTTTTTTCATTAAAGGGGGACTCTGGGAAAAGGATGAGGAGCAACAACGTCCGACATTTCTGGTTTCTTTTTGGCCTACTAATAGAATCGGATACATAATCTTTAGTGACTCTTTATTTTCTTGCATGTTAAGTGCAATACGCTTTTTTTTTTTAAAGAGGGACCACAGGAAAGGATGAGGAACAACAATGTCAACATTGCTGCTATGTAATTTTTGTAAGATAGCTGTGTCAGTAGCATAAATAAATGGAGTTCTGAAGCAAACTACTTGAGATAGTTTCACTTTGCTGTCCCATTATGGTTCTAGGTTCAATTCCTGTCCCTTTGTTTCAAGCAAAATTAATTGGGTCAGGTTCACTTAACAATAAAACTCATGAAGGCAGATGAAAAGTAAGAAATTCCCTCTATTTAGCTCCTTGCTTTCGTTAATGCTAATGATGAGAGGGTGCAGGAGGCATTTCGAGCAATTTACCTTGATAGGTAGTGTCTGATTTGTGGTTCTTCCTGCAATTTCACACCTGAGAATGATTGGAGAGGGGAGGCTGGTGATGCAAAGAAAATTGCCTCCTTGCCTCCCAGTTGTGGATTTTCCTGGTTCTGATTGTTGTAATTTAATATTACAACTAAACAGGCAGTGAAGCAAGCTAAGCATTAATATTTAATAGATAAACACAAGTACTGGTTCGGGGAAGCAGCTTGTACTATGTGTGGCACAAATGTTCCTTACCAGCCTCTAAAGCAAACTTGTACATCAGTCATTGTTGATGTCAATGTCTAGTTATCATGCATATTGACGGGCATGTCTTTTGCTTTTGATGAAAAGAAGCAATTTTGTTATCAGAAAGCTCATTTTCCATTCATTGTACTGCTAAATTTCTGCATAATTGCATTGGGTGGTCGTAAGTATTTTGAAAGGGTCTACTTTTCCTTTTCTGGTACACCAGGACTAAATCTAGTCCAGTTAAAGCAGACCATCGAGGTCAATAGAAAACTCTGGGAGTCTCTCTCCAAAGAAATTGAACTTTGGACTTAACCTATAAGTTATCTGCTTACCAGCAAGCTAGCCATTTGGAGTTTGCTAGGCTTTGCTTTATTTTCCCCTTTGATTCTTTTTCCCATTAACTGCATGTGCACACTAATACATCATGAGATAACATGCCGCAGTAATTTTTTGAATTCATTATTGTTTTGAGACAATGGATACTCTAATATCTGTTTTCATTTTTTATCCATTTCTTAGATAGTGCATTCTTTCATGATTTTTTATGCATCTATAGTTTTCACAATTCTATAAATTAATGCATCTGAATTCTTTGTCTTTAGTTTTGTGTACTGTTTCCATTGCCCTTTTCTTTTAACTCTCTCCTGTAATGATTTATGACCATTCTTTCTTTTTTGTCTACTTGAATAGGTAGTAATACCATTACATCAACTAAAAGCAGTTAATCCTTCATCAAGCAGAGTCAATCCATCTGAGAAATATATCCAGGTTATCTCTTTAGATAATCATGAATTTTGGTTCATGGGCTTTCTAAACTATGAAGGTGCTGTTAAATGCCTAGGAGATGCTTTGCAGGCCGGTAATGAAACTTCTGTGTGATACTACATGGCTTCACGCATCATTTTTATGATGTTTTTTTTTGTCATTCAACCAAGTTTTGTTCCTATATTGCTTAGGGAGCATAAGACCACCAATACTTATGCCATTATTCCTTTTAGGAACTCCATATACTCTGTGGAAGTAAAAGTAGGTCACTTTTAGAGCTTATATCTGGATAATCTTTATGGAAAACAGCTAGAGAAAATATATTTAATCTTTTTGGTTTAAACCTTCTTGTAACAAAACTCAATATTGTATTCATTTTTTTCTTTGCCAGATTACTTGTTTTTCTTTTCTGTCTTAATCGGCTTGTTTTCGAGGAAAATTTTTTGTGGTGCATTGAGGGCGCTGTACCCTCAGTAATTTTTCAACATTCTACAATAATTTAGAAACTACATAAAGTTAGACGGTTACTAGACAAAATTATTAATTTAATATGAAAAATTAAGAAATTACTGCAAGGCGATGTATCTATGAGGATGCCATTCCACATGATTTGATCTTTTGATGCCATTGTGTTTGTATATAGACGGTGATAGTGAGATTGTAGTCTAATAATCATTGGAGTTACCCTCACTGGCACCACCTGCTGGCTCATAATTCATGCCACATGATCTGTTCTTTTGTGGTTATCTACTTGTTTTTGTGTTTGTATTCGTTGTGGGCTGCTCTGCTATCAGCTACCTACCTACCTGCCATGCAAGGCAATGTCTGAGTTGTTGCAAACTGATGAGGAATCAGAGATCATTTTCAATGAAACAATAATTTCTATATGCCCGACTTTGGTTGGTAATTAAATACATAAAACCCTGAGGTTTGAACTCTAATTCGTTCGCCTCGAATTCAGAATCTTCCAAGGTTTTCAAAAATTCTTGTTATACGCTCGTCCCGACTCTACACTTCTCTTTTCTGTGTCTGATAATGTTGAGTTTAGCCAATTGAATGACGATTCGAGCTTTGTTGACTCGGACGGTATTGAATTGTTGTCCCTCGTGCTTCTCTTCCATGCTTGGCACACACTGGCTTGGTTCGGTTTAATTCAGTTCGTTGAATATAACATATAAATCGAATAAGTCTCGCCGAATTAATTATATTATTTTAATTTTTATCGAGACAAAATATTATATTACATAATTATTAATATTATTATTATAAAAGAAAGACTTGAAGGAGGCTGCATTGTACTGTCAAACATGGATTGGGTTGATTAGTGGTTGAGGTGGCTCTTTTTAACTTTCTTCTTCCACCATGATTGCTATTCCCATAAAGTCACTACCTTCCCCCTTGGTTGATTTAGTGTAACCTAATAAATGTAGGTTGCTTCTGATTATATTGATGTTTTGATTAAGACTACTATACATACACACACACACACATATAAGTAGGTATTTTTGTGTGTGTATATATATATATATATATATGGGACACCTAAACTTTTGTGTATCATTCAACCAAGTATCTTGCATTAAAGATTCAAATCCAGTGAATAAACTCTACGAGACCTAATGGTATCATACCCAAAAAATTTTATAACTAGAATTTCTAAATATAAATTACAACCATTGAAACAAAATAAGTAAATATAAAGTTACTCATTAGATATTTCAAAACATATTTTACTAGACATGCAAATATATTTATCCCCAAAAAACATGTAATTATTTTATGGGAAATATTATAAAACTATCTTCATCAAATCAATCATAACTAGAGAGACCCAGTTCAGT